CTAGCCTCTGAAACTGTAAGCAATAAATGTCATTTGTTAAACAAATCACCCAGTTCCAGGTATTTTGTTATAAGCAACAGAAACAGACTAATACAGTGTCACTCCTCTAATTTTGAGTGTACAACCAGAATGGCACATGCAGAGGCCGTGGCTGTCAGGGAAAGTAGAGGCCTCGCGGGTGTCTTCCTCTCTGCTCCAGCCTAAAAGCCTTTCTCCACCCTCAGTGGACTTTCCTAACCATCGCAGCAGTCTCTCCATTAACCGCTGCCGTCAGTGTGCTCTGACTTTACCCTACAAAGATTCACAGCAGGAAGTGAGCCAGGCAGGCAGGGCCTGTCGGTGGCACAAACTCAGGCAGAGAGGCAGGAGAGCAGGCCCCGTGGCCGCCCACAGATGGGTGGAATGTGATGGTCATATTTGACATGCAGGATCCTGAGTGCCAGTGACAGGCTGGCCTGGCAGCTGAGGAGGCTGGACAAGGAAGGCTCTTTAGCTTCTGGGGGATTCTGGCTGCTTCTCAATCGGTGGTAGGTTTTCAGCCTCAACCCAGACTCCAGATTCAGACAGTCAAAGCCAGAGGAGGAAGATATAGGGGTAAGAGTATGGTCTCCATGCAGCCCCGCACGCCCACTCCCTGCAACCCCANTTATAAGCAAAGATTAAGGCACTAGTTGAAGAAGTCTAAATCTGACCCAATCTCCCAACTGTTTTCTTTAAACTTAAAGTAATATGTAGTAAAATCTTGCTAGTTGTTGGGCTGAGCTTAGGGATGGCACCCCAGAGACTCAACACCCTCCTTCTCCAGCAGCCAATATATAAATATCCCTGGCCTCGCCGGTCACCACCTCCCACCCTTGGAGCTTCCCCGGCTGTTAGGGACTGGGTAGCATCAGGGAAAGGAGACAAGGTCAACTAAACCCTTTGGGCAGCTTGGTAAATGGCAATTGGTGAAAATGGCCAAAACTCAGGGTTTCAATTTTATTCAGCCATGTCATGCTTTTAGGGCAGTTAGCAGAATTGAGGTTTTGGGTTTTGCTCAATCTTAGGCAGTGAAATTAAAAGTCTCTCATACAGGAGGCCCGTCCATGAGCCTAGAGACACATATTTCTTCATGAAGGAACAGACTGTGACCCTACGCAGTGGTGGTGCTGTGGTTAAATATGGTAAAGCTCCCTTCGAAAGCCCTGGTGGCATCACAGAGTAGAAATAGCACTGGGAGGTACACTGGAGGTTTAGGGATGCATTGGGAGGGGTATTCATATGACCATTCCCATTTCCAGGGCTCTTCATCAATGAGACTGGAGAGTTCTAATTCCTTCCCCAGCGCCAACCCTTCTCCCCCATGCCACCTGTGCTAACTAGACAGAAACCACCCTTTGCTTTCCCCACCCTCCAGCACATGGGACATCGATTCCAGGGCATAGCTGTCCTGGGACTCCACCACCTCTGACTGCCTCCCCTCACCAGCACAGAGGAGTGCCCAAGCAAGGCCCCTCCAGTTGACGATCGACACCTGCCCGGGTCATGAGCTCACAGGTGAGCACCCCCCACCCCTGGATATCACTGCCTGCTGGGGCCTGCGGCTCCTGGGATCAAGTTCCATCTTCTCAGCATCCTTTCGTCTTGGTGCTGAGCGGTTGGCCTTTGTCAGAGCAACCAGTGTTTGTGGAGTGGAAAGAGCCAGGCTGTGAGTGATCCATTTGACCTTTGGACCACAATGGTGTGGTGGGTAGGAAACAGGAAAACCCTTCAGTGCCAAGCAAAATTCGACAGAACTGCCAAACTTCCAAATGCCAAGGCAGAAATCCAGAATCGAAGGCTACAGCTAAGTGATTTTATTCTGCTTTCCCAGCCTGGAACCATTTAGTGCTCTTTTCTGAACAGGCTGTGTGATGTGTGGACAGTAAGTGCTGCTGGACCCCCTGTGATGTCCGCCTCATTACCGTGAGGGAGGCAAGGGTTGGAGAAGGGAGGAAGAACCTACTCATCGCTCCAGGCTCCCGACCACTCCACTTCACCCCACGGATTCCTGAGTCTGATCAGCTTCTCTGGACGGCCATGGAAATCCACCTGCAGTTCCACACACAGAAAAGAAACTGAATTACAGGGCTCCTGCCACCTTGCATTCACATCTGCTCCTGAGAGGATCTGCATTAAATTTTTCAAATGTCCCTAAACAACCACACTTTTATTTTCTGTTAGTGCATGTTTTCAAGCTTCAGCCAAGTGCTCTATTTTTCACAATTTGTTTTAATAAATGAAGAGCAAGCCTAGCACAAAAACAAGTTTATGTCTGCTTTAACTTGGATTTAGATTGTATAGTTGACTAAGATCGACTCAGTTCTTAAAATATGAGACCTAATAATAAATGTCCTCCAAACAAATGCCAACAGCACAGCACATTTATTGAGCATGTACTATGTGCTATGGACTAAGCATTACATTCAGCATGTTAGATGAGTCATTGCCCCATTTAAACCTCACGGCAATCCTGTGAGATGGATACTGCTATTACCTTCATTTTACAGCTCAAAAATCTGAGACTTAAAGAAGTTATCCAAGATTACCTGATTAGTAAGCGGTATGTACAGGATGGGAACCCAGGTGTTCTGTCTCCAAAGTCCATACTCGTAAATCCACACATACCACCTTCCCCTACTATTTATTAAACACTCAAATGTGAGACCCCTTGCACCTTGCACAAATGTTTGTGTCCACATACGCACACACAAGCCTTATGGACACTAGTTTTCATTGCCTTGATTTCCTTGTGTGCTCCAC